CCCCAAAACCCCAATCCCCAAAACCCCAAAACCCCAAAACCCCTTTGAGAGAGACTCCTAATGAAAAAATATTATACTATTTCTGTGGCTATTCCTTAATTCTTATAATATGGCTTTCGAGATATGATCATTTTAGGCTAATAAGGGTTTTAGGCCCCTTGTTTGGTGCATATAGATGGGTAGCTGACCTTGACACAGCTGACTGATGAGATAGGGAAAATTTTAGAGTATACAAAGAGATAATTACCAATCATTGGTTGACCAAGATCTGCTAAAATACCAATTCATCGAATTTTTATGGCCTAGAGCGGCCTTAAAAGAAGTATTTAGGTGAAATAAGGTTCTTTATTGATAAATTAGCGATGTTCGGAGTTAAAGAGTGTTCCTCTCTTGGAACCAAGAATCAATTCTTTGTTCAAGAGATTCACTTAGCTTGTAAGAGTTTTCTTTATCTGAATTTGAGGAAAAACTCACTCTCCTAGTAAGATTTGAGTATATTAAAGAGTCTTTGGCCTCATTGGCAACTTCTTCATTCTTTATAATCTTTATCATCATTAATCCAAGATGGGAATTGGTCTCTGGCTTTTGGACAGCTTTAATCACAGCATCGGTGATTGATGATATCATCACATCCAATGCTTGAGTTTTAATCACAGCATCAGTTAGCAAGACTTTAGCATAGTGCTGGGCGGTAGTATGATTAACTCAGTGTTTCATCAAACTGATACTAGCTTGCTTAACACTCTCATGTTTCACAACATCTAGGGATAGTTTCTTCGTGTTCTGGATAAATTTCTTGTCCTTGACGACCCCATTCATCAGACTGATGCCGTACTCTCTTGACTCCTCGATAGTTGGTCTAGCTTTGAAGAGGTCATTAATAAGACTGATGAGACTTCTGTGGACATCTTGTTCTCTGAAAGTGGAATCGAGGTATTTTAAACCTGCTTTTTCAAGGCCTCCTAGGAACCCTTCGGTCGCGTCACTGATGACCTCATCTTTGATGTCAATCAGCTCATTGAGGGCTACCTCAAGGATGTCTTGAGATCTAGCAGAAGATGGCTCAATTTCGCTCTGAGCGAAATCGCTGGTGAAATCTTCCAGATCTTTCTTATTGATTAATTCAGGGCCACAAGTGGCCATGTCATTTGTGGTGGCTGGGATTTCCTCAGAAATAACTTCATTTTCTGAAAGGTTCAGGGCTGTCTTCTTTTTCTCAGCTGGTCTGATATAGCTTTTGGCAGCCTCCATTTTGGCATGAATACTATCTGGTATGGCAGGCACCTTATTGATAAGAAAAGACGTCATAGATGACTTGTACATCATGCCTCCTAGAAGAAGGAATGAAAACTTGGCTCCTTTGATGTAGATAGCCAAAGAGAACTTTTGGAGGAACCCAAATTTCATAACGCTGGCTTTAAGAGCAAAAGTGGCCATCTTAGATGTGACTAGAGGAGCTTCCATTATTTGTATTTTAATTCGCAGGGAATTGATAATATTATATCCACTCGATGCTTAAGTAGAGGGGTTTTGGGGTTTTGGGGTTTTGGGGTTTTGGGGTTTTGGGG